TGCTGGCCGCCTCTCCCTGGCTTTCCCTCCTTGCAGTCCCCACCTGAAGGCCGTCCTGCCTGCCGCCCTTCCCTGCCTGTGTGGGCAAGCAGGAGTCCTCTGCCAGCCGAAATGAGACGGGGCAGGCAGTAGGGCTGGCGTCAGGGTGATCCCACCCTGCCTGTCCCCCCAGCTGGCGGGGGGGGGGGGGAGGGCAGACCACAGCCCCTGTCCCAAATATGTCTCTGCAAATCCCTCCTTCACCCCACCATAATTTTGCATTGTTTCACAGCCCGCATGTCAGGACCCTCCAGTTAGACTTCCAAAGCGTGAAACCTGCCTGAAACCTGAGATAACCAGAGGCGCTGGTTATCTCCTGCGGAAGGTGACAGGCCAGACCACAGGCTGCAAGTAAGGGAAACCCAGGCTGGAGAGCTCGACTTGCCACCTCAGAGACCTCCCCTGGCTGCAGTTTAGTTAAATCTTTATAAGAGAATAATCTCTCTTGGAAATAGGCTCCACTTTTATGACAGTGTGGTTGCACGCAAGTTGGGATGGTGTCGATACAACCATTTCCCCTGCCCTTTGCCCTCGCCGGCTTCTATTTACTGGTGAGAGGGAGGGCGCGTGGGCAGATGCCCGTTGTTGCCCCGGGGCTGCCAGGTATCAGCCTCCATTCAGCTGCTGCTTGCCCACAGGTAGCTGCCAAGGTGCTCACCCTGTCCATTTCGTTTCCATATTTTTGCAAGAAGGGGAGGGCTGTGGCTCTGTACCCCACTGGGATGAGCATGGTGTAGGACTTCTGGCTGGTCCCTAAAGCCCCCTTCCCCTCTCCCTGCCCCTGCACGCTAACTAAGCTTCTTAATGAAATCTTTTGGGTTTTTAGTTTACTTGTGCACCAGGATTGTTACTGCCCATACACCCCACCGCCCGGAGCCGGTTAGCATCTCACCGGCGCAGAAAAGGCCTACGCACGGAAAAGGTGGTTGGTGGCTAGCTGGGTTGCCACCTCCAACCCTGCGTGCCCCTCTGAGCCCGCCGCAGCCCAACCGCCGCTCTCCGCTCGGGGCTACCCCTTTCCACGCCAGATGCCCGTCCTGCCCCACGGCCCTGCCCTTGCAGCGGGGCTGGAGCAGCTTCAGCGGCGCGTGAGTGCAGCAGGGAGCGGGGGCCATCTTGCAGGGCTCTCTCCTGTGCTCTGCGGGGTAAAAGCCATTAATGCATTTAACATGAGCCTGGGGTAATGACAAGCCTGATGCATTTTATCTCTCCCTGCCTGGTTTCATGACAGGGCTTGAACAGGAGGGCAGTCCTGGCTGCTGGCGTGAGGTAGAAACTTTCCTGCACTACTCGCTTTTCGTTTGCGTGTCTGCTGCTTTTTGGTGAGCAAATGACTGAGCAAACCCACAGACTGGGTGGAGGTGTCGGTCTCTATGTGCTCCTCAGTGCCTTGGTGTTGTCATCCGTGGACTTGTCAGTCAGAATAATCAGCGTGAAAGGAGTCATCAACTTGATTAAAAGTCACAGTGATTTTACAGCAGGGTGTTCTCCTGCATTTCCATACAGCTATTGAGAACTTGTTTCACTCTTTTCTGCACAAAGATCAGGCCTAGAAACTTTCCTTTCCTCTCCATCTTTTCTAAATGTTGAGTTTCTCATGCAATCACATCACTCCAGGAGATGGTAGGTGAGGAAAATCCCTTTTTCCTGGCATCTTGTCCATGGTCTTCCCATCCCTGCAGCCCCCATCCCTCCCAGGCAGTCCCCCCCAGGAGGGATCTTCCTGGTGCCGAGTTGGAGATGGCCTGACCCCAGTCACCCCACGGGGCTTATTTTTCCTATCTGCTGCTTGAATCTGCCAGGTGCTTTCTTCATCCCCTACCTCATCTTCCTCTTCACCTGTGGGATCCCTGTCTTCTTCCTGGAGACGGCACTGGGGCAGTACACCAGCCAGGGAGGGGTGACGGCCTGGCGCAGGATCTGTCCCCTCTTTGAAGGTGAGTGGGGTGAGCCTGGGAGGGCATGGCAAGGTGGGGGGACCATGGGGCCCCAGGGGGACAGGCCTGGACATGCCTCTCCCCACAGCCTGGATCGTTACGTACCTCCACGCATCCGCTGCCCACCCCTGAAGACCCCAGCCTGGGAGGGCCACTGGCTGCCCCCTTTCCAAAATCACGCTGGAAAAATTCATCACCTTTCTCACTAAACAGTTCCCATCATTATGTTGCATCCTGGTTTCCTCCTTCATGGCCACAGCTCTGGCCAGCAACTTAGCACCCGATCAAGGTTGTCCTCCAAGAGCTAAATAATGAAAATGTTTCTGGTGGTTATGAGGAACATAAAACATACTGTTATTTTTTTAAGTCAATGCTATGTCATTTTCCTGAGTTTGCAGATGGCTTAAAACCGTAGTGGGGAAAGGTATCAGCTGTCTTAATAAATCATCAGCAGTCAGATCCACTTCTAGCACTGCTGCAGGACAGTCATCCGGCCTCCAGGCACTTTCCATGATCTCTCTGAAAGTCTCAGTTGCCTCCTCCCCACATAACAAAATCTTTAGACGCTCCACCAGCACCTCCCAGAGAAGGTGTGTGGTGTTAATACAAAAGCTTCCCAAACAAAATTGAAAAGCGATGAGCGAACAAAATAGAAAGTGAATTTTGGTAGAGGAGGTGTTATTCAGCAGGTGGAGCACTGTCATATGTTTCTGTCCTTTTGGGTGACTTTCTAACCATAATCTGCCCATCCCCTGCTGAGATTCCCTGTCATTGCCACCCTTTCACCAGGGAAGGCTGTAGTGGGGCAGCAGAAAGAGGGGATTCCTGGGGTCCCTGCTTGGACTCCTGCTGATGTGGCACGGTGGGCTTTGGGGAGGGGATGATGGCTCTGGCAGCCACCCCACTGGCATTCATCTGTCAGCATGGTCAAAATGCGGAGCAGTGGATGAAAACACTGGGCGAGCATTTTCCAAGGGGAGTCCTGTTTCTGTCCCCCGGCGTGTGGGTCACCTGCTTTCGGGGCTCACTTTCTGCAGGAATTGGCTACGCCTCACAGGTCATCGTCATACTGCTGAACTTCTACTACATCATTGTCCTGGCCTGGGCCTTGTTTTATCTCTTCAGTTCGTTCACCATCAACCTCCCCTGGGGCAGCTGTGACCACGAGTGGAACACAGGTGGGTGTGGAGCCCCTTCCCAATCCTTCACTGGATCCCGGCTGAGGGAAACCTGCTGCTGCCCAGGGTCAAACCTCAGGAGAGTGGCTCACTCCTGCATGGATGGGACCGCTGGTCATGGGGGTGGTGAGTGCTGGGTCGGTGCAGTCCTGCTGGAACTTTTGGGGAAGAGGCTCGGTTGATCTGGGTCTTTGCTAGAGAGCACCAGCGCTGGCACTGCCCAATCACTTGCAACACCCAGCCAGTGCCATGCAGTGGTGGCCTTCCCAGTGGCTCCTGGACTGGGCCTCAGCCACCATGGGCACCTTTCATTTTGGCATCTCCCAGTCATCCTACATTGTGTGTTAGCCAATAGACCCAGTGCTGGTTGGGACTGTTCACCATTCCCACTGGAAGGAAAAATTAAATGCCATTGTCTTAATTGTCCTAGGTTTCTTACCAGCCTTACCGTGGAGGGGACTCCTTTTGTGCATCTTTGGGACTATACAAAATTTGTCTCGGAGTCAATGTCAATGAGTGTTGACACCGTGGATGGAAAGGGAGGGATTTTTCAGATCCTCCGGTACTCCAGCCACTGCTACTTATGCTCCTTCTCTCCCTGGGCCTCTCCTGCAGGGAACTGCATGGAGCTCCAGAAGGCAAACTCAACGCTCAACATGACCAGTGAAAACGCCACCTCCCCTGTCATCGAGTTCTGGGAGTAAGTAAAGGACAGGCCTGTACACCACTTTCCTCCAGCACATACCTTCCCTGGGCAAGGAACAAACCCTGCAGTGGCACATCCTATTAACCCATCCTTGCCAGAAGAGGATACAAGAGAGGAAGCTGGGCAGGTCAGAGTGAAAGTTCTCAAGGGCAGGACCATCAGTCAAGGGCAATGTTGCTGGGCTCGTGGTGTTTGCCTGGAGCTGTGTCAGCATGCCTCAGAGCCATCTGACTTTGTCCTTCTCTGATGCTGTATTCCTGTCTTTCTAGACCTTTTGGGCTTCTTGGTCTCACTGACCAGCTGACTGTGCAAGATCTTACCTCACCAATGCTTTGCCTCCTCTGGTCCTTGATATTTTGTTTATTGTCCTTTCCTCCCTTGTTTCTCCTCTGCTGTTGCACTCTCCCTTTCTCCATCTGTGCTGCTCCTCTCCCTGCCTCCTCCCTTGTTCTTCATTGCCAGCTGTGAACTTCCTTATACAGTTGTTTCCTTCTGCAATGTAAGGTGAATTGGCTGCATGTTCCCCATCCTGAAGCTTTGGTTCAGACTTACCCAGGGTGCAAACCTCAGTAAAATTAGTGTCACTCCCTCAGGGTATAGTGGCCATTACCCTATGGTTTGGATTACAATTTATGTATATCTGATGGATTATCCATTGCTCTTATTCTGTTCAGAGCAGTCTGCCCCATGCAATCCTCAGCCTGCCTGGTGGCTGCAACCAGTGTAACTGTGCTCAGGACACCGGTGCCAAGGTGGGAGTGGGGCAAGGTCTGTGGTGATCCACAAAGCAGCAGCTCTGCGTTAAGTTTTTGTCTGCATGTTTTGCAAGCTGTAGTGTGTTCAGCTGTTGGAGAGACAGCTTAAAGCCCTGTGATGTACTGCGTGAGTCCATGCTGGTGATGGAGTAGGTGATCTCTTTTGAATCCATGCTACTGTGTGGTATCAGCATGTTCCCAGGAGGCTCTGGCATGGTGGCTAGTGACTTTTGTATGTGGGCTAGTCTTCATATTAAAAATAGAAAAAGAGGTGATGTTTTCACTTTAGAGTGACTAACATGCAAGCTATCCTGAGGAGAGAAGCTCACCAAAATTGAAACGAAGTGCTAGGGTCAGCTTACTTCACACTGAAATTTGTTCCCTTGTTTTCATTCTTTTCTCCCCCAGTGTTAGTTACCTTGAGGTACAGAGTAGTTTTACTCCTGGCATGAAGGCGCATAGGCCTGTTGGTTTGGGATCTCTGATGATCCTCAGGATCTCCTGGAAGAACAGGCCCAGCTAAGCACTGAGCTCTGGCTAACAGACTGTGCAAGTGACCCCTCTGCTGCCACCGTGAATTTCCCTTCTGCCTTTAGATGGAAGGAGAGCTCTGCCCTCGCTGCCCTCGGCAGCGCTGCTGGGTGCTGTCAGCCTGTGGAGCACACAGTACCTCCAGGGCATCCCTGGCTCAGCACAGGGATGCTGTTTTTAAACTTTAAAGGTTTTAAATTTTCTTTGTTTCCTGTGTGCTCCCTGAGCCTGCACTCTCCCTCTGCCTGCTGCTCACATGTGATTAGATGGTGGCCGGCCTTACACTGCTTTTCCCAAGGCTGGCTGCTGGAAAAGTTGATGTTCCCATCACTGCTGTGACCATCCCTCTGTTACTGGGACTGGAAATTTCCACTGTCCATTGCTTCCGATGCAGCATCTGTTCCTGCTGTCCCTGGGAGGGGAGGTAGGAGACCACCATTTCCGTGAGAAGCACTGACCTGCTGGTGGGCTGCTGGCATGTTTCTGAGGCCTTTTCTGGCTGCAGTACAGTGCCCAGTTAGTTACGGTCTGCTGGTACCTTTTCCCCACTGGTCACAGAGTCCACGACCTTAGAAACAGGCAAAGAGCAACGTGATGAAACGCATCTGGCGGAGCAGCGTGATTTTTCTGACTCCTCTCTCTCCATCTGCCATGAGGCTATGGTGCAGGAAAGGAGGCAGTGTGTCTTAGACTGTGGTTCTCCAGGAGCACGACCTTTGTTTTGGGATAATTGCTGGTTTTTGCAGCAGGGCGGGCATTGCTGCTGGGCTCCAGGATAGCGCACGTCCCTCTCTGCCTGTTTCAGGCTTGGGGTTTGGGACTGCACCATGGTGTTTCATGCTCAGATCTATCTGTGCAATGTAGGAGATAGAGGAGGGTGAGTCCTTCTGTGAGCGATGAGAAAGATTTGACATACACATAGCATGGAAAGCTGTTATATGGCCAGGATGAGACCATAAGACCTTAGCTGAACCAAGGTCCATCTAGCCCAGGATCCTTTCTCCACACTGGCTGAAAGAGGATGCCCAAGGTGGCCTCTTCTGACTGTGCAATGGGGATTATTGTGGTCTTGATTGGGTCTTAGCTGTGGTATGTGATGCTATGCTTCTGTGGGTCCTGAGGTGAAATATGTAGCTGCTCCTAAAAGACAGAAGAAGTGTGTATGGAGAAGGGGTTGGACAGCATTGCTTCTTGGGTGGTCCTGATGGATTCTGCATGGTAAGTGCAATGCATCATTCACTTTGAGGCTTGAAGCATGTCAGAAATGTAGGTGAACTTTGTAATGTGCATGAAAAAGGCCTGGGCAGAGCTTGTGTGTGCAAAGTGCTGCATGTTCTTGCAGAGAGAGAGCTCTTACCCTAGAGGACAAGACAGATGAAGGGTGGGAGGAGGACAGGAGAAGAAATGTCTTGGCCCAACAGGCCAGTACTGGAGTGAGCATAGAAGCAAGCGATCCACGTGTGATCTAACAGGCTGGTAATACTTTTAAGAGGGGACCACTGCTTGATTCCTCTGAGGCTTGCAGCTCAGATCTGGACCTTGTTAGTAAGACAGCTTTTCTCCCCAAAGCCATCAGGTGCTGTGGAGGTGTGGTGAGAACCAGCATGGTGTTGGGAACATTAATGGCCAACAGCAGTGACATTTGGCTGTTCCTTTGCTTCCCTCCAATGCAGGAGGAGAGTGCTAAAGATTTCTGATGGCATCCAGCACCTGGGCAGCCTGCGCTGGGAGCTAGCTCTCTGTCTCTTGCTGGCATGGATCATCTGTTACTTCTGCATTTGGAAAGGGGTCAAGTCCACAGGCAAGGTAAGTCCTTAGTTCAGATCAAGCCTCTTCCTTTGATCACAGCTGGAGCACTTGATCTACTCACCTTTTGTACGTTCAGAGAGGTCCTAGGGATGCCCTGGGAACCACCCTCTGAATAAGATGGCAGGAGCCTGTGGGGTTCAACTTGCAGCAGGAGTGTGAGCCAGGCTCTGTGTTTTGGGTAGGAAAGGATGGGAGTGCTGAGATGTCTGAGAGCATTAACTTCCAAGATGTATATCCCCATCTGGTCCCTCTCCATCCACAGGCCCAGGAGACCCTGCAGTCTTCCTATTTATGTGGTGGCATGTTCCCTTCCCTCCCACCACAGTGTGAGTAAGCAGCATGTTTTTGCCTCTGCTGGCAAGTGCAGCTGAAAAATTTTAAAATTCATTAGATAGATAATAACAAAGGTAACTCTGATGGCCTCAAAGCCCTCTCTGCCTCATTGCCATGGGGATCTTCTTTTTTCTTTTTGTCCATCCCAACTCTTCCTATAGTTGCTTGTATTCCCCAGCAGTAAAGGTCTCCTTTTTTTTCCCCCACACTACTTGCCACAGAGGTATTTCTCTGAATGCTTCTGGGAAGGGTTGGTGTGACTGTCCAGCTCCATCCCATGCTCCCTCTGTTGCAGAGTGTGCCACTGTCATTTGCACTGACCCCATTACTCAGTTTTTGCTACTGCCTCCTGACCCATTCCCAGCCAGCTTTGTCCGGAGCCAGCAAGAACAGATGGAAATGAAAAATTTTGGTATGTTATCTAAATGGTGTCTTATCTGCATGCTTTGAACAAGACATCATGTGTGATGGGGTGTAAATTTTAGCTGCATCCATTTCCATCAAGTTGATGGCATGGATGTTAGCAGCTTTTCCTGCTTCCAAAATGGTCTGGAGTTATGAAACATGACAGGGAAATCAAGCAGCTTGCAGAGATGATGTTTTCTTGTTTCCATGGAGTAAAATTAGAAGAAAAGAGCAACTGCTTGCTGTGGTAGCCTGGTAAAAGAAAGCAGAGGCAGTCTAAGAGCAGCAAATATCATACTAAGATACAGCAAACATAGTGTGGGAAGTGCTAAGCACAAATTCAATCTATTTTAGACACAAGTTCTAGGTTAAATGCAAATGCCTTTTAGCAAAAAGGACTAGCGATGGTGAGATCTTATCTTCTTGAAAACAGAAACCTTCTTTCAGTAAAGTAACAGTGTCCATAGGTTTATCAACCCTCCACTTATTTCATAATCCAGCTAAAATGATGGCCATGGGAATACAGTCCCACTGGCGAAGAAATATACTTTAGTTCTGGGGATTTGCCTGTGGAGGGGCAAACACCATGAGCTGAAATCACCCTACGCAGAACAGCAGCAGCGGTTCGCATTCTCCAACACAGGCACTGCCCATCCCAGAGAAGCGCTCACAGATGCAGAAGGTTGTCACAGATGGAACTACTTTGCCGAGGCATGTGGATCAGATTCAAATAAAACCCTGGATGTTGTTGACCAGCATGTGACAGAACGATCACATTGATCCCGGCAAGGTTCCTAGTGATGTAGTTAGTGCTAACAATGCCTGAGAAATAAAAAGATTGGGTCTGAGCCAAGCACTGAGTAATATCTCATCGGGGCCAGATGTTCCTGTTGTTAGATAGAAGTTTGGCACTCTTAATCCAGCAAAACATTCTCCAAATTCAGGCCTCTGGTCTCAGTGCAGATGTGAGTGACTGTTGAGTGAAAAGCTTAACGTGCTAGTTCGCACAGGCTGTAAAGCACATAGGATGTTACCAAAAATGTGAATCCAAATCATATGCCCGACAACTACCAGTTTGTATTCTGAGCTCCTAAAACCAATGTTATTTAGAGACCCAGCCAAGAATGTGCAAGCTGGCATCCTGGAAGAACGTGCACTAGGGTTCAAAGGTGATATGTTGTTTTATGATTTTTGTTTTTAATCTTGCTTTCATGAACTGAGAAAGATTAGACTTGCATCCTTTCATTTCCTGAAGGAAGAATTTGGTTGTATGTAAATAGAGGGATGATTGTTAAACTTGCAGGACCTGCAGATTTATTAACCGTCATTGAAAAGCTCTAAATCAGAGACTCCTTGAAAATTTGAGAATGAAATGAATGATGGTGTTTGCCTGTGTTGAAGGATGCTGCCCCTGGCTTCCTTCAATGTTGAGGATGTAGATTCAGAGGGACAGGGATGGATCTGCTCACACAGACATCTCAGGCAATCCTGAGCCCCAGCAAGGAAGTTTTTCACTGACCTCCGTGGCATTACCCAAGACTGCCGTGATATATAGAGCAGGGCACATGAAATGCATAGAAAACCTGGAGCTGCAGGCAGAGGTGATAATCTAGTAGTGTAATTTTTCAAGGATGGAGTATCTCTCAAATCCTTCTGTTCTTCCACATTACAAAACTGAATCACCAAAGAGTGTGTATCTTGACTTAGAGGAGGACTCGCATTGCAGCGTCAGATGCTTTGGATGTTGCTTTATTCAGATGGAGTACACCAGAGTGGATCCAGAAAAAATCTCTTTTTGAATTGCTACTCAGCTCATAAGGATTACCCAGGGGCAGAGTCAAACTGTTTGTACTGTCCAGGGAAATCATATGCTCGTTCTTAGTAGGACCTCCTCTAATGCAGAAACTGCTATAGCTGTGGCAGAGCCTGTGACCCCTGCTTCAGGGACAGCGGGCTTTAGGTGGATTTTGAAACAACTCGTTCTGGATGGATGGGCAGCTGTGAGAAATAGATCATTTTACATCATCACATTTTGCGGTTCCTCCAGAGATGAGCTTTAGCTCTCTGGTCCGTAACTGCCAAAGCTGCGGAAAGAGCTCTAGGGTAGCATTCAGGTGAAGCGTGCTGATGCGAATCCTCACCCAGCATGTCCACACAGGAAAAACTTGAACGAGCAACATTTCTTTTTTGGCCCAGCATGATACAACAGACTGAACAACTTTTTTTCAAGGTGGTCAATAAGTCTTGATGGTGTGGAAGCAGTGCAAAGGTATTAATGACACTACTTGAATTTCTGGGGAGGCTGCATGAGCCCTTGATATCAGTTTGTTTGTGTGGGAAACATAAACTACAGCGTAGTGTTGTTGTGGCATGCTACAGCAGTTAGCCTGAACAGTCCTGAAAGTACCCTGGTAATCCCCAAATTGGATGTTACATTTATCAGACGTGGAGTCCCTGAAAGGATTAGCTGATACTGGTCTGCAGAATTCCCCCAGGGGACACGCTCCTTTGCTAGAGGAAGGGTTTTCAACCCTACCTGAGAACGTCTGCATTGCTTATGGGGCTAGGGGTGTAAAAGGCAAGAGGACACAGGTTAAAGGTCCTGTTTGGGTCTGCATCCTTGGTGGCAAGTCTTAGACAGAAGTGCCCATGTTGGGTATTTGAACAGGGGTCAGTCAGAGGCAGCAGCTGTGATTCTCTGCAGTGGGGAGTGGTGGGCACAAGGCAGTTGCAGTGCCAGCCCTGAGTGGGGGACCCCCAGCGTTGTCCCTGGTGGTCCTTTGGTAGCAATCACGTTTCCAGGTTTATCTCTTACCTGCACTCCCCTTCACCATTGCCACTTAATGGTGCGGGGAAGAGACTTTCTGTGTGTGACTCAGACCTCTATTTGAGGTAGGGATGTGCAGATGGATAGTTGGGGGCAGCTCCTTCTGCTGTACCATCTATGTAGATATTACACTGCTGGCTTCAGTAGAGCTACTCTGACTCCAGCCTGGTGACAGCCTGGCTGGGGGTCTAGATCACTCTTGGGACTAGAGAGGTTTTCTCTGGCTCCAGACATGCCAAGGCACGTCACAAGTTTACTGGGTGCATTTTAAAATGCATTTCTTTCTACCACAGGTGACAGCAAGGTTCTTGGTGAGGCAGCCTGACCTGACCCTGCCTCTGCCCATCTCCCCCAGCCTGGGGACCGGTGCTGTGCTGCCAGCCAGTGCCGTGTGCTCTGGCCACGCTGTTCGCTCACGCTTGTCCCTTTGTCCTCTTCCCAGGTGGTGTATTTCACGGCCACGTTCCCATACCTCATGCTGGTCGTTCTGCTGATCAGGGGAGTCTCTCTGCCTGGGGCATCCCAGGGAATCCTGTTTTACCTTTATCCAGACCTCAGTCGCCTTGGGGACCCCCAGGTAAGGTGGAGGGGGGAGTGAATGATTGAGCTGTGCTTGCATGGATGCCTGTGTCTGTCCTCTCTTTCTCCTTTTCCTTTTCTCACTCTCTTTCTTCCAAGATCTTCTTTCTGTCTCCTCTTTTTCCTCTCTGTGGCCATAAGGCAGGGCTGCGAGACCGGTGTGTACTCTGGTGGTCCCTGTGCTCTCTTGCCCTTAGCCTTCACCTGTGCTGTTACGTATTTTCTAGTCTGAGTTGGGTCTGGGTTGCCTGGGATTACGGGCAGTGGGATTTTCCCCTTCGTCACAAGTGGTGCCAGCTGTCCCCTCCATTTCTTGGGGAGGCGACTCTGCTGCAGAAGTAGCTGGTGCGTGGGGTGTGCGCTGTGCTGGCAGCTTGTGGGGACAAGCCCAGCTCCTGGCACACTTACGCTGGCTTCCCTGGGAAGCATGCTGGGTGCATGGATGGTGGGAGCCGTGGCACGCTGCAGCAGTTCCCTGGGACTCGGCTGCCCTCCTTGCCTCCCCATCCCCGGTGAGAAATTCCTGCCTGTCTGATGGGAAGGTCAGTGCCTGACTGCTGCTTTTAATCTCTTTGGGACAAGTTCTTCCACGTTAAATCCTGGCTCCAGCTGAGCTGCTGTACCAGCCTTTGTGTGAAGGTGTTTCCAAAGGAGATTAAAGGGTGCCTGCCTGGAAAATAGGCCAGTAAACCCCTTTGTAACCCCATTAACTCCTTCTGATCTAGCCCAAGCGCTGCCTTGGTTATTAATTTTGCAAATGGGGGCATACATGCTTGGGGAGGAACGATTCCAGCTGATCCTGCTCTTCCTGATGGAGGAGAGAGGATCCCTGTTCCCTCCGGGTGAGGGTAGCAGCTGGGTGTCCCTGGGTCCTGCCTGTGCCACCGGTGTGGTGTGGCTCTGCGAGTCAGTTTGACTTATGGCTTCCGACCAGGGGAGCTAAACACGAGCGTCCGGTTTCCAGCTCCAGGCAGTCTGGTTTTTATCATGGGAAGGGCTCAGAGCTCCTGCTCAGCTTTCTGAAGTCGCTCTCTGGTCAAGGCTGTGCCTGAGCAGGGGGTGAAAAGCCTCATTTTACAGTGTCGGCTGCTCTCCTGCTCTCTCGGTTTCTCTGTGGACAGAAGGTGGGTAGGACAGCTGCTCCTCGGTGTGAAGGGGCAGCAAGGCTTGGAAGGGGGTGAGAACAGGTCTGTGTTTGCAGAGTTTGTGGCTCCAGTCATGCCGATGAGGTGCGAGAGACGTCTGAAATGAAATAACATTTTCAAATGGTGCTCATTCACTTATGAAAAGTCCTGTTGTTACTGTGGCTGTGTTGCCCAGGGGACTGAATTAAACCACTTCAAGCATGGCATGGTTTTGCTGGTACTAGCTGTGTCCTTATTAGGTCTGTCCTGGCAAACTTTTCCAATTACAGCCTTAGCTTCCTTCCAGCCTGGAAAATGCTAATGCGCCAGTGGAAAGGCAGAGTAACCCTTCAGAGCAAGAGGATGGCTTATCCTCCAGTGGGGGAGGAAAACTGGCTCCTCCCTCCCCGACTCCATCGTTCCCCGACTAATGCTTCACTTCTGCGGTAGAAAAGCAGGAGTCAGTATCAGTGGTTGCCTTCCTCCAACGTGCTTTAACCATCCTACCAAACTGAGTAGCAGGGATGGAAGTTTCTCTTGTGTTTTCCCGTCAGAGAGGGAAGGGAAGGGTTAGTGTCCCAAGCCCCACACGTGTGTGGCTGTGCCCCCCTCTCTTTGTGCAGGGACAGCATGAGTCCTGCCAGCCCATCGGGGCCAAGTCAATTATAATTGATTTGCACTCAGAGGACGGAGAGCTGTAATTGTTCACCCGTAATCCTGCACTGCCCAGAAAAGTGGAAGATTCTATGGTGCCTGGAAAGGGATTCTGGAAATTAAAAAAATATTAAAAAATTAAAAATACCCTTTCCAATCTGAGCCTTATGATAAGGCATCTCAAGGGGAGGTTTAAACAAAGGGCAAACAATATACAAAGGGACAAAACCAAAACTCCTTTAAAGTGTATGAAAAACTAAGTAAAAAGAGGGGATAAATTATTCAGCAGATTCTACCAGTGGAGCAGCAGCAGCCGAGATGTGATTAAGTGTCAGAATATCAGACTGGTGTGTGGAAATCATTGCTTTTCACCTGCCAAATGACCTTGGACAGAACTGGAAAATCCTGCCTATGACAGCTCAAGCTAGCTGATTGATGGAGGTCTCTTCTGGCCAAGAAGCCTACAATGCCCTAAATCTTCCTGCGCCTTCATTTTCGAAGTCTATGAAATGCTTATAATTAAAATGGTAAATAAAATGCATTTGATAGGTAGATCAGACAATACAGAGAGACTGCCAAACAAAAGTTTTGAATAATGCAGTCCAGTTCTGCTCAAATACAAGCAGGTAACAGCAAAACCACCAGAGACATCACCTATTTTGAACTGTATGTCCTCAAACTAAAAATCCAAAAAAGCAACCCCATAGTTCGTTTTTTATTTATATAATATTTAGTATTATGATGTTAACATGTCAGCCATTACTAGGCCCAAATTTTTTTTCCCCTCCTTGATTGCATTTTCTGTGCTCCAGGAGGTTCCTCCTTATTTCGTAGTGCAGGTTGTGTTTTAACCGAAAGTGGGTCTTGGGGTTGTTCACCATTTCCACTTTTGATCACTCCACTTTGCGTCAATTTTATCAGTTGTTTATTTCAGTAGATAACGCTGGGGATTTACAAATGTGATTAAGGAGAGGGATACACAGTGTGATCCACTAGCGGGAAGCTGAAACGAGAGGAATTCAGAGTAGAAATAAGGTTTAAGTGTGGGAAACTTGTCATCAGAAGAACTTTTCTCAGGTGCTGGCAAGCTCACTGTCACCTGATGCTCTCATACCATGACCAGGCACTGTTTCAATAGACAGATTTAAAGACAGAACTGATGGGCTTGATGCAGAAAGCCTGGGTTTCTTCTCTTTGAAGATAAGAAATGTAATGGTCTCCTTTCACTCTAGTATCAGTTCTCAAGTGATTTTAGCTAAACTTCATTAGATTTTACGAGTGAGAATGAAAGAGAAGTTGAATTCAGCATATCCCTCTCTGGAAAAGCAGCAAATGTTTCTCAAAATCTCCCACTCTTGTTTTCCTCTTGAAATTTCCAGAAAACCCACCACCTTGCTGTACATGCTTGCGCTTTATCCAGTCCTTATATAAAGGAGGAACGTCCTGTGATGAGCTGCTTTCCATCCATCCCAGACATGCTGAAGGTCCCGGCGGGGGCTGTGTCCCTGGTGCTGGGGGCAGGGAAGCACCGGCGGTGCTGAGGACCTGCGGAGGACCCGCAGCTCTGCAGATGCTCCATAAGCAGCCCCCACCACTGCACCGGACACCCAGCCCCGCACAGCACTCTGCCAGGGCACCCTGACTTGCTCTGCGCAGCTAAATTCAGAGCATTAACTTCATCCAACCTCTCCTTCTTGTTGTCTCTCCCTCGCTCATCTGCACTATTTGTCAAATAACCTTCCCTATGTCCCTCTCATTTTCTTTCACCCATTTCCCTGGCGGTTGCTTTCTGGAGCAGCGTTTGCCCCTGCAGAGTCCGCACAGGCTCCTGCTTCCCGATGGATGCGGCAGGAAGGGGAGGCAAGAGATGAAGATGCCCCCAGCTCTTCGGGGGGCTGCCTGCTGTGCCTGTGGCCGGAGAGGGAGGCTGCTGGGGTCCGGCTCGAGGTTTGCACTGGAGCAGCTCTCGCTGCCGAGGCTGCGCTGAGGATAAGCCCTTCGGGCCACCACAGGGAGGACAGGAGGTGCGTGCATCTTGCAGGGCTGTGACCTGCTGGGTTAACCATGGGCCCCCGTAGCCATGCTGGGGAAGAGGTCAGAGCCCCCAGATCCTCTCCCAATTCAGACCCCTCCTGCTGC